CTTCTGAAAACCCTGTATGTTTTTCTCAAACAAAGATGACCCATTTATAAAAATGAGCATTAACAGCTGACACATTGCACATAGAAAGGATTGCTGTTTTAGTCCTTCAAAGTCTTCCATAAGAATGAAACAATTTCACCTCATTTTATTTTTTATTTATTTTTTACCTCATTTTAAAAGTTTATTGGTCTAAGAAAAAGTTTACACAGAAATCTGAAATTTACAATTCTTAAAAGAAAAGTCTTGAAATTGTTTGAAAAACCCATTTAAATTCCTTAACAAAACTAACCAACAAAGTAAGACAGTTTCAATCTTAGCTTGGTTTTAGTCTCCATATGAATGTTCTCCATCTGAATATCTTGGCAGATTCTATTGGACACACCTCAAAGTCTTCAGTGTTGGGAGAAAAATACCCCAGGACCCCACCCACTGCCCACATAAATTTTCCAGTGTAGGCCTAAACCACACAAGTGGTTCCAGAATCATCATGTAGGACACAGTCATAACCAGAGTCCCAGAATAGTCTTAGACCAACCTAACTGTCGGAATGGGCCAAAGAATAGGGTTCTTTTAACTCTACAGCAAGCACTCTCCTTGTCTCCCTAACTCATTTGCCCAATAGTCACAGCATAAACCCAAGCTGTAAACAACACCCCCAAACCAGGTTAGACACTGACATTAGAAAAATAAGGCAATATTCAAAGGAGTATTTTTAAATAGCGTTGCTCAGCCAGACACCAGTGTCCCAAGCCTGTAATCCTAGCCAGTACTAAGAAGGCTGTGAGTTCAAAGCCAGACAGGATACTGTGGTTCAAAGTTAGTCTCAGGGCAGAAAAGAAGTCCTCTAGACTTCATGTTCAAAAATAATAAACAAAAATCAAGGCTGGAGGCCTAGGCTCGAATGGAACAGTGCTGAATGAGCAAGCCAAGCAATGTGCAAAGTGAGTTGAAACCCTACAGTACCTTTAGATAGTATAGATAAGATAGATTAGCATAGTGTTTACTAATTGAAAAGTCCACAAATTGGGGTTCTAAATTCTATGGTAGGCCAAACTACTGTCTAAAAAGGAAGTATACAATTTAATATACAATAAAATTATACAATAAAAAGGAAGATACAATTTAGATACAAGGTCCAGTAACAAGAAAGAAAAATTTGAAACTCTTTGAGATGTTCTACTGCATTTTCTGTCTCCCAATTTAACTCAGGTATCAACTTTCTGATTGGGCCAATTAAAAATAAAAGCATCAACTTATCAAATGTTTTCTATCATTTCTCAAATAAAAGGCCAGTTGGAATCTGATATACACAATGAAGAATCAAAATTTTTCTCCAAGGATAATTAGTTTTAGAAGCTGTAAATTTAGACTCTTCTTCAGTAATGATCTAGTAAAATAGAATACAAATGATGACAGACTCATCTCTAGCCAAAACATTCAAAGACCTTAAGTTTTGTTGTTTTTTTTTAAAGTTTTTGTTTGAAGTCATTACTTAGGAAGTTCTAATCGATGAATGCTATACTAGAAGGGTACTGAGTGAGGTATCTAGGTTCTATCTAGTTCAAGAGAGATAATTACATGAATTTAAACAAGTCACATTCATATCCAGAATTTAAGTGTCTTCAACTTTAAAATGAAGGAATTAAGTAAGTTCGTTTTCTGTTTAAAATTTGAAGATTTAAAAATGACTTTTCAGACGAAAACATTCCCCCGGGACCTGATGCTTTTAAAAAGACCGTACTGCATTTATAAAAGGCTTTAAAATTTAAAATTGCTAGGTGTGGTAAAACATGCCTAAAATTTCAGCACTCTAGAGGCTGAGGCAGAAGGTTGGAGTACAGTCTGAGCCACAGAGCAAGTTCTAGGGTAACCTGTAAACCTGTACTAACTATATAGCAAAACCCTGTCTTAAAAAAAAATATTTTTTTTTACATTTATTCAGTAACATTGCAGGATACATGTTAGCATCAACACTATTGTGTTATTTCACTAAACAAACATATGTCCAGAGCAGAACTAGAAACAGTTCTCAATTAGATTCCACTTATGGTGACCTTGGTCTGATTTCTAATCTTATATTCTCTCATTTGTTGCAAGCACTATGTTTAGCAACAATTATTTTAAGTGTGAGGTAAAAGCAATAACACTGGACATTTAAGTCAGATTTTGATAACTTGTAATCACTCTTTTCAACAGTAAAAGATACAATAATACCTATCTTTGGGGCTATTGTTAGACTGGGCATGAAGGGGGAACATGCCAAAAGCAACATTTTTGAAAAGTCTACAGATATGACATCACTGCATTAACTGAAGTCCTTAATGGAACTGTCAGAGCCGCCAACCATATAAAGCTCCTTTACCTTCTGTGGGTCTACCTTTGGACTTGAAGTACTACAGATATATTTTATAATTTTTGTCCATATAAGCAGCTTTTTCAGGGAATTGTAAATGTGTCTTGTTCCTATAAAAACAACATGGGAAGGGGCTGGGAAGGCTCAGTGGTAGAGTGCTTGCCTTGCATGTATGAGGCCCTGGGTTCAATTCCTTAGCACCACATAAGCAGAAAAAGCCAGAAGTGGTGCTGTGGCTCAAGTGGTAGAGCATTAGCCTTGAGCTGAAGAGCTGAGGGACAGTACCCAAGCCCAGAGTCCAGGCCCCACAACCGGCAAAAAAAAAAAAAAAAAGCATGCACTACTACATCACGGAGATCTGGAATTCCTAATCTATGTACATGCACCTGTGCACATGTGTGTATGTGTATGCCAGTCCTGGGGCTTGAATTAAGAGCCTGAGTGTTTTTGCTCAACCATTTGAACCACAAGTCTACTCCCAGCTTTTTGTTAGAGATAAGAGTCTCACAGATTTTCCTGCCAGGGAGGCTTTGAACTATAATCCTCAGATTTCAGCCTCCTGAGTAACTAGAATTACTGGCGTGAGCCACCAGTGCCCAGATTAAATTCCTAAGTTTGCCACTGATTTTGCACAAAGCTATTTTCTTGATTCTACTTCCTCAGTCCAAAAAAAAAAAAAAAATGTAGCTTCTGCTTTTGATAATGCTTGAAATTTTTGTTTTTTGAGCTATGTCACTGTAGCTCAAGACTCTAATGCCTGGAGACAAAAATGAATTTACTTCACTATTAGTCATGTACCCTTGCAAAGTATGGCCAAAGTTTGCGTCAACTTTTAAATAAACAATCACTCAACCCCCACATTAAAAGACAAGTTCTGTTGCCACATGTTTAATAGCAGAAGCTTTAGATTTGGAAGTAGACAGAAAATGATAGCCAATGAAAACTGAATGCATACAGAGAATGTGTTTAGCATACACAGGGCACTGGTTCAATCCTGAAGAGACATACACACAAATCTGAATCCATAAAAGAACACATTCTTAAGATAGAAAACTTTTACTATGCTGGATATGGTGGTTCAAGCCTGTATAATCTTAGTTACTTGGGGAGTTTATGGTTCAACATTGAAAAACTCCATCTCAACCAATGTCTGGGCGTGGTCATACGTGCCTGTAATCTTAGCTAAGAAGAAAGCACGATGTCTAGGCAAAATGGGGCTTGCCATGTTTGGCAACATCTAGAAACACAAAGAGGAGGATCACACGCCATGTTGGCCTACATCAAAAACAGGCAATACAAAAGAGACTGGGAGTGGTAGAGTGCCCAGAGTGAGGCCCTGAGGTCAAGTCCAAGTACCATCACCACCAAAAAAAAAAAAAAGGAAGAAAAACACACTTGACCAACACACTTAATTAGCAGTAGTCTGTGAGGACGGGAATGAAAATAGGAATGAAAAAAGGAGGCATTAATTTTTGACATAACACCATCATCCTCACACATCCTAAAATACCACTAACTTTAAAAGCTAGATTTATATTCCTCACAGTAATTTACTGTGAAACTTTCCCATGTGAGTCCCCTTATTTCAGCACCTGAGTTTCTCCTTCTGCATAATAAGACAAGCACAGACAAGTACAGAATTATGCTATTTAAGAGAAATTGAGTAAGCTCAGCACCCCTGCATCTTACATCAACTGAAGGGTTATTTGTGAAGCTATCTCTTAAATGTGTCAGAATTGCCCCTAAGAAGCTGTTAAATTACCAGAACTTAGTCCTCTGGAGTTCAGTGCCAACTTTCTCTTCATATGAAGAATAAGGTCTAATTTAAAAGAACCATCCCAAAATACAGGATAAATACAGCAATGCATCTCTTCACAAATAAATCTGCATAATGTAAATGTCCAATGGAGGGTACATGCAGAAAGTAGGCAAGCCCATTACCTTAACACCATGAGCCAATAACTGAATAAATAAATACCCTTCAAAACCCTGGATGTAGGACTGGGGGAGCACCTTGTTTTATTGTTTTCATTAGACATCTGCTATCTTACCTATTTCATCTCAGTTAGACTCTCAGATACAAGTGGGTAAACAGATGGTACCTTCCAGAACCAGAGTACTAATTCCGGTTACAGGCAAACATTTTAGGGACACACAATTTCACAACTCGGGGCAATCAACATGCACATCAAGGGAGGAACCAACTTCACCCGTCTGCTCATGTCCAATAATGAAGTTCTCTCAGAAGGCACGGCACGCAAGCAGGGACACACACTGTGCGTGTGTCCCTGGGGACCAGAGTCTGTAGGTGGGATGGAGGAAGCAGGGGGAGGATGCGTTTTTCATAGGAAATCTGCTACACACACACACACACAGGCTTCAAACCCTACAAGCCGGAGCGAGGGTCACCTCAACCAAGCAGTGACTATCAGGGCAGCGCCATGTGCCACCGACCCCAAAACTTCCGAGAAATGTAGAAATGCCCTAATTAAAAAAAAAAAAAGTGTAGTGCGGACCTCCAACAAGAGGGGGGCAAGTGGCAAAGGGGGGCTTCCCAACCACCCAAGAGACGGGCGACAGTCCTTGCGGCGTTCCAAACGCTCATATCCAGGCGAGGGTGCAGGGTGAGCGGGCGCCGGCTCCTTACCTGACAGACGTCATGGCTTCACCTTCCGGCCACCGATGCTCCGCGTCAGCCCGGTCAGCGGCAGGTACCACAGCAACTGCTGCTCCGCACAGGCTCTCGGCGGCGGCCGGGAGCGCGTCCTCACACACCCCGCGCGCGCGGGCGGCCCCTGGCGAGCGGGCTCCGCGCGCTGATTGGCGGCGGCCGGAGGGAGGGAGGACGCCCCGCCCCCGGCCGACGGCCAGAGTTCGGCCCGCGCGTTCCTCCCTGCACTCAGGGCCCTCGGCATGTAGCCTGAGCGAGGCTCGTGCGGCTCGGGACTGATGAGCGGGGTAGCGGACGAGCCGGCGGGCGCGGTGGCCATCTTGAATCCCGGTGACCGCATCTCCCTCCCCCCAACTCCGACCCCCAAATCCAGGCTCCCCGGGGCACGAGGTCTGGGTGCCCGCCTCAAAAATGGCCGCGCCGCTGGCAACGGGTTTCGTAGTCACGTGGCCATGGTCTGCCAGGGACAGAGCTCAGGTCTCTTCAACGGCACTCGGGAGAGGGACGCTGTCAAGGCAAATCCCGGATGGGGTTTAATGGGCTGCAATTTAAAAACCCATTGCTGAGGAAAAGCCGCCGCCTGGGAGAAACAGCCGGCGCGTGGCCGCGGCGCGGACGGGCGGCTTTCCTGCGTGTCTGGGAGTCGGCCGCAGGGTGGAGGGTCCCAAATTGGCTTGAACTTGCCAAACACCTGAAGCAGCTCATTCAACGTGGCGCTGCCCGGGGTCCGCGCCAGGCAGTCTAGGTAGGTGAGGCCCGGTCATTGCAGTTTTAGGGTGCTGCCGTGTGTTCAGAGGACACATACAAAGTTTTACACTCCCAAGTCCAAAACTGCACTACTCCACTGTCCTGTTTGCACACTTGTCAAAATGCCTCCCTCGAAATATGCAAGCTAGTCAGGCGATGCCTGTAATCCTAGCTACTCAGAAGGCTGAGACCTGTGAGTGTCGCGGGTTCAAGGCCAAAAAAGCCAGAAGTGGAGTTGTGACTCAAGTAGTAGGGAACTAGTCTGGGGCAAAAGAAGCTCAAGGATAGTGCCCAGATCCCGAGTTCAAGCCCCAGGGCTGGGCATGCAGACATGCAGATATGCAAAGTATGAAACAAGGGTTTAAGACTAGAGGAAAAAGATTGGAAGGTACCCTTAAACCTCTAACTAAATCTGACAGGTAAGTGGGCTACAGGGCTAAGAAATCAATAATGAACCAGTAAATAAAAATGGAATTAAGAATTTAACTTCGAAAGTGTGGGAGAACTGGAAGGGAAATGAGTAAATGCATTATGTCCCAAATAACTTTTCTTTATCCTTCCTGTAATCTCTGTATAATAGTATTTATATAAGCAGACAACCTCAAGGGCCATTCTTTTACTGACATTTAGGATGGTGATTAATTTCATAGATCTCAAATACATCAAAAACCTATACAATAACATTAAAAAGTGGCTGATGGGCCTACAGAATTGAACTTCCTTTTTTTTTGAATGTTAAAACTGAAGCAAAGAGAAGGACACGGCCAGTTTCTTTTTGTCATGTCCTTCATCCCACCTTCCCCACCACCAGGAAGGTCACTGAAACTAGACATTTTCTTCCTTCCAAAAAGTCACAATAACTAAAGACACCTTTGCCTTGTGGAGCTGATCATAAAGTTCTCTGACCTACTTTTATTTGGACATCATTAAGACTTTCAGAAATAGTCTTAACCCATACTAGGAAGGAAGGAATGCTGAGAGAGGACAAGAAAGAATCCAAACAAACACATCTTCCTGAATTTCCCCAGTCTGTTAGCATTGGATCATACACTTTTGTCCAATCACCCTCCTTTATAGCTTATTTGAACAGAAGAACTGAAAATAGCTCACCCTGAGTCTTTGGTCTTCATTCTGAAGGCCTCGTTATCTAAAACTGATCAAATAAATATATTATACTTTCTCTTGTTAACCTATGTTTTGTTGTAGGAGTATTGGTCTTGACCCTAAGCAGGAACGGGATATCCCCCTTTTCCTCTCCTATGTGCCATTAAAGACAATGTTATTGTTTCATTTGGGCTACAATTTCACTTTTTGTTTTTTGGTTTGGTTTTGTAATGCTGAGGATTGAACCCAGGGCTTCCCACATGCTAAGTACCCACTTTACTACTGAATTACATCCCAGCTACATTTTTTGTAGGGAAGGGCTGTATTGGGGTTTGAATTAAGGGACTTGACTTGCTATGAAAACACTTTACTACTTAAGCCAAGCCCCCAGCCCTAGATTTCACTAAATATTTATTTATTTATTTGTCAGTCATGGGCTTAAACTCTGGGCCTGGTCACTGTCCCTCTGCTAGCACTCTAGCACTTGAGCCACTGTACCACTTCTGGTTTTCTGGTGGTTTATTGAAGAGTCTTAAGGACTTTCCTGCCTGGGCTGGTTTTGAACCGTGATCCTCATATCTCAGCCTCCTGAGTAGCTAGGATTATAGACATCAGCCACCTATGCCCGGCCATTTCACTAAATTTTTAACCATTGATAATTTAGTATCCAAACTAATACAATGTATGTGTAAAATTAATAGACTTTTCTGAACCTATACAAAAAATATAGATAGTATCTCAGTAAAAATTTTATATTGAGTATATGTTGAAATGATATTTTAAATATACTGAGTTAGAATTTTTTTAATTAAAATTAATTTCATCTGTTACTTTCCTAATGTAACTGCTAGAAAATTTTAAATTATATGAGTACTGCATTACATTTCTATACACTGGACTGTATCATTGCCTCTGTGACAGAAAGCCACACCATCATATTCAAATATGAAATTAGTAAGAAAGCCAGTTTGTACAAGTCTTTTCCTTGTCCAAAACTCTAATTCAAGATTTCAACTTTCCTTATGAATTGTTACTTTTAGCCTCCTCTTTTTTAGAGGGAGGGTTTTGTTGTTGTTTAGATATTATGGATTTAACTTGCATGCTAGACAAATGCTGACCTACATCAGTAGCCCATTCTTGTTCTCTTTAATTTGGTAAGTACCTAACTAGAATGAAGCCATGTACTCAGACCATGAGTAAAAGGCTGTTAAAAACACTGAGCTAATGGACTAGGAATGTGGCTTAGTGGTAGAGTGCTTGCCTAGCATGCATGAGGCCCTGAGTTCGATTCCTCAGTACCACATAAAAACAGAAAAGGCTGGAAGTGGCTCAAGTGATAAGCACAGAGAAGCTCAGGGACAGTGTCCAGGCCCTGAGTTCAAACCCTAAGACTAGCAAAAAAACAACACTCAGCTCAGTCACATGCCAGTGGCTCACGCCTGTAATCCTAGCTATCTAAAGATCGCTGTTCAAATCCAGGCTGGGCAGGAAAGTCCATGAGATCTTATCTCCAATAAACCACCAGAAGTGGCACTGTAGCTCAAGTGGTACAACACTTGCCTTGAGCTGAAGAGCTCAGGGACAGCGCCAGTCCCAGAGTTCAAGCCCCATGACCAGCAAAAAAAAAAACCTCACTGAGCTCTAGAGCTGGTGTACTGAGATTCTCACTGACCACCAGCAGCATTAGTCAACTGTTCCTCTGGGTTAAAATGAATCCAAAACAAAGAAGCAGCTGGATAGCAAGTTAGTGTGGTAGAAACTCTGACTAATTCAAGTTTCCCTCTTGTTGAGAAAATATGAATAATCTAGATGGACTAAAATCAAACCAATGTTTACAATTTAGAATTTAATATAATTTTTAGTAAAGGAGCAGAGTATAGTGTAAAGCAGAACTTTTCAGGCTTTCATATGCATAAATGAATTGTGGGAATCTTTGTTTAAAGGACAGTTTTGACTCAGTAGTTCTCAGTGGCCAAAATTGTGTGCTTATTTATGTTCCCAGATTTCACCACTTCCTTCTCATCTGTGTTCTTGAGTAGCAAGGTTGTAAAGGTAGGAAGACAGACCTGATTTGAGATTCCTGCTTTACTTCATAATGGTTGTGACTGTGAGCTAGTTCATAACTTGTCTGTCCCCAAATTTAACCAGCTTTTAACGTACTTTTCAGAGCATGGTGAAGGTTAAAATTCAATGAATTGTAGTAAAGTGTCTGTGTAAAGGACACAATATCAACTAGTTTAAATTATATCTCTGGGAATCATGACACTAACATTCATATAAACTTGGTGCCAAAATGAAGTATGCTTTTGTTCACACTTAACATATTTTGGTGAAATAATTAACCATTTATTTATTTATGCCAGTTCTGAGGCTTGAACTCAGGACTTCACTCTCTCACTGGGCTTGCTTGTTCATGGCTGGTGCTCTACCACTTGAGCAAAACCTCTCACCCAGCATTTTTGCTAGTTAATAGGAGATGGAGTCTCTAGGATTTTTCTGCCCAGTTTGGTTCCAAACCTTGATCCTAGATCTCAGCTTCTGTATAAATAGGATAAGCATGAACCACCAGTACCCATCTATAGTATTAGGTTTTAGAATTAAGATTTTTCTTTAAAGAAAGACTCAAGATACATACATATATATATATATATATATATATATATACACACACACACATATATATATATATATGAATATGATGATAGAGCATTTGCTGAGGCTGTGTAAAGCCCTGGGTCTCAGCCCTAGCACTGTAAAAATAAATGCATATTTTTAAATCCTAATTTTAATACCAAGCAACTATGCTTATTATTTTTAGTAAATGCACTATATTTCATATCATGAGTAAACATATGGCTCTACATTATTCAAATAGTGAACTTAAGGCCACACCATCATATTTAAAAATTAAAAGAAAAATTATTGGTGACACAGCATCAAACCTAATCAAAACTTTAAAGAAAAAACAAAAAATAAAAACTTAGCCAGGCACAGGTGGCTCATGCCTATAATCCCAACTACTCAAGAGGCTGAGACCTGAGGAAAATGGTTCAAAGCCAGCCCAGGCAGGAAAGTCCATCAAGGCTCTTATCTCCCAATTATCCAACCAAAAGCCAGAAATAGAGCTGTGACTCAAGTGGTAGAGTGCTAGTCTTGAATAAAAAAGCTCAGACACTGTGCTCAGGCCCTGAATTCAACCCCTTAAGATTTATTTACGTACAGAAATTCTTAAAATTTGTCTCCTTGAATTGAATTCAGGAACCCTG